TTGTCTTGTTAATTTAATCTCCTTAAAAGGAATCTTTTGAAAACATTTTATAAGACTACATGAATTTTCAATTAAAATATTAAATCTTTCTTTAAAAAAATATAGTCATCCATAATCCCATTGATTCAAATAATCCTAATGATATCTATTAACAAAAAATCATTTTTAACGTTTAAATTCAAAGTATTTCATGGATTCTATAAGTATCGTTCTACATTCATAAAAATTGCAATCATTTTTAAAGAAAATGATAGTAATAACATAGCGATAATTTGATTGTTTCTTATAAAGACTACTCTTTTCGAAACGCATCTTGGGAAATCACTCTTCAAGTGCGTGTACTTGAAAAACTTACAAATAATGAAACCGAATTCAGGAAACAGACTCAGATAATTCACGATGACGTAATCACAGTCTTCAATTCACACAGTCACGCCCTTTTCAGAAAGTTAATTACGATTTGATACTGACGTCACCGTCGTCTTAGGAAAAGGAAGTCTATTCATTACAGATCTTCCTCTAAAAACTCGTAAATTCGCAATTATATTATGAAGAGGTGATGAAATTGGGAAGATAGAAATAAATCGCAGAATTCCTCCTGGCTACAAGAATTCAAATGAACATTTAGTTTTACTTGCTTTATTCAATATACAGTATGTACTTGTGTGCTGAAACTGAACACATAGTGTAGATAAGGCTCTTTCGGACTGTGATAAAATGCTAAGAAATATAATAATATGAAGACATTGATTTAAATAAATATACCGAACGGAATTTTTAAATGAATTTAAGGATCGGTTTTAACACGGAGTGATCAACAAGAATTACATTTTGGGATGGTTTTTATTTTAAGAAACTTTACAGAAAGGAAATTTCCTTAATATGATGTTTAAATTTTAAAATGATATTTAGATTAAGTGTTTTAAATAATGATGTTTAGATTAAATGTCGTTCTAAACAAATATTTTCATGATATACAAGAAAAAAAAATATTAGCAATAATTCTTTAAATAATTATGACAAATATAATATAAAATAATTTCCTTAAGTCCTTTATCAATAAAAATTTCATGAACGAAATGTAAAAATTTCCATTTCAATATTCAAAAAGAATGTATGTAAAAAAACAGAATACATCTGTAATTAATGGTTATAACAAATATTCCATATTATAGTATCTGTTTTATGTATAGATCTACTAAATGGATGTTACTTAACAGACAAAGTAAAGAGTGAGAATGCGCAGCTGATAGAATGTTTATTCACACCAGAAACGCAGACCTTGTGCCAAATAGCAATTGTCTGTAACGATGTCAGCATTCAACTTCGTCTACTAGATAAAACAGATAAAACCTCAAGGAAATCAATATAAACAAAGTAAATAATCCCCGACTTCTTAGTGAAAGCGAGATTATAAGCCAGATAATGTTATTTTTATATTTTTGTACGTAAAAAGTTCATATAATAACTGTTAATAATTAGTTATATCATATTTAATCAACATAGTGACTAATAATATTACTCCAAATTGCTAGACCGTTTGTGCTATTTACACAAGGGCCATTAACACGCTAATCTGCCAACACTTCATTCTGGAAGTGTTGGCCCTGTATTAGAGAAAATACGAAAATTCATTAACAAAACCATCCCAATGAGAAATACACTGCGATATTCACTGCCGAGTCCATTCGTTTTTCAAAGCAGTAACTGCATCCTATACCATCAGATGGTACCAAAGAATCCAGTTCTCCCAGACCATAAAGTGAACAATGCCACTGGGAGAACAGTAAGGCATATGTGAAAAATTAGAAAGTTAAAAAAAAATGTTTATAATAATTTCCGGCACTAATTTTACTCGCTTTAATATTTAATACCAAATTTATAGTTTGACAAAGAGAGTCATTTGAATTGTTTAGGGTATTAAGTTAGTCATATTTAACTTTAAAAATAGATTAAATCAATGTGTAATTAAAATAATGTAATCTAATGTAATAATGTGTAATCTTTTGTAATCAATCTTCAATTAACAAAAATAAACGAAACACAAAACAAAGATAAAGAAATCAATGTAGTAATGAATCACTGTATTGTTGCACAAATCAAACTTTCTATTACCCTACGCAATAAAATCAAGAAAGATTTATTTTAAGGTTATTCGTTAATTCTAAAAGTTTATTTTTAATAAGTTTTAATTATAACCCGAGAATGTCAGATTTTCTGACAAATATTTAGTTAATGTGACTAAATTCAACCTTTTGGAGATAATTATATAATTCTTTTCAAATACCTTTTCTGATCAACATTGGTAAAATATTTCATCTATTCAAACCATGTTCATATATCAGGCTGTCTCTGCACTTCAGTTAAGATTCTATCTGCCTGTCTCGTGGCTCAGTGGCAACGTGCGCCGCTGGCGAGCATTAAGGCAGAGATTTAATCCGCTGTCGGCTTTGTTGTAGACACTGTTTCAAAATACGAGGAGACTCGATGGCGTTTGGGATGTTCAGCATCTTGCCTCGTGAGTCAGACTACCGGGTGGGAGTTTTCCAGGTTTCTCCCATTCGATATAAGCAAATGCGGGGTAGTTCACCCTAAAAGTCCTCCTCCTTCTTCAGCGTCACGGAGCTTCACTTCTCTACCTATTGGTGCTCCTTCACAACAGAAACAACCCTTCCCTCCATTCATTAGTTGACTAATAAGTCATGAGTTGACCCCTCCGCCCCAGATGCCGGACACTGAGGATTAGTCAACAACAACCGATTTTAACCGAATTCAAAAAAATAACCGAAATAAAGATTTTTTTAAAAAACATAATTTTGGAACTTTTCAATATAATGGTTAATGGCATCATTATCATCGGCACAGCAACCCCATGGTGGGCCAAGGCCGTCTGTCTACAGGCAGATTTCGAGACAGACGATGGCTTCTTTTTTAAGGTGTGGTGTTCAGCCCGACGTTCTACAGTCATATTACGCTAGGACCTACAGTTTAACGTGGATTCCGAACCACTACAAACATCCATGGCACCGCCGGGACTCGAACCCGAAACCTGTGGAACCGAGCGCCAGAGTACTAGTCACTCGGCCAACAAGCCCCCGGTTAATGGCTCTTAGTATTGTAAAAACACGTATAAATATAATGATAATGATGTAAAATAATTATTTCAGTTAACGAAACGCAAAATAAGTTTTATTTTACATAAAAACACTCATTTAACAGCGTTAGCAATGAACGTATTATTTCTTTATCACTGTAATTAAAATTTCCAATGCAAAACACAAATATCATATTGAATGGATAATGTTAATAAAATCAAGTGCTTTTTACAATAAAAAAAAATATTGAATGGAAATGGTGCCTCAAAAAAAAAAAAAACATTTTCGACATAACATTAAGGTAAAACAGACGTGTATTTATTTCTACGTTTAACCGCCCGAACTTCAGACACAACCACAACCAGCACTTAATTCCAGTGTAACCAGTATGTATTACCAGACACAATGACTAATCACTGGCTTACGCTTTCTGCCTAATGGTTAACAGCAGACAGTGAAAATAAAAATAAAATGGCCGCAGATCCATAAGTCTGAGGTCAGGAGCTTCTTTTTCTATTCGCTGCTTGATATTCATAATGAATGTTTATTAGAAAAAATTTTCTTTTTAAATAATTTTTTTTATTTGAACGAAATCAATGCGAGTATAAATATATATTTGCCAATTAAAATTAAAAAAGATCGAAATAAATGTTACTATTAAGCTTACATATATCTAAAACCCGACATTTTACTGAAACAAATAAATCGATAATTATATCATAATATTATCAATAATTATATCATTAAAATATTTAATGAATTTAATTTAATATTTAATATCATTAAATATTTAATGATATTATATTAATTTATATCAATAAAATTATTATTAATAATTATATCAAATCGATAATTATATCATTGAACTTTATTATACTCCAGCAATTTGTTATTAATATATAATTGGTGAAAAAATAATATATATATTTTTTGTAAATAATTAACAATATTTATAGAAATATTGAAATAGAAGTTTTATTAAACAAAAGATACCTAGAATATCGCACATCATTTAACTTTTTCATTATAATTCTCGAGGGCGTTTGTGATGTTCAGAATCTTGCCTCGTAATTTCGAACTACTTAGGAGTTTTCCGGTTTTCTCCCATACGATACTCAAATGCGATGTAGTTCCCCCTTAAAAGTCATCCCGTAAGGCTATGGCCTCCCTTCCTCAGCGTCACGGAGCCAAGTCACATTTCTACTTAAGGTGCTCCATCACAACAGAAGCTGCTCCTCCCCCCCTTTCCCTCCTTCCATGAGACCACACGTGGTTCATGGACTTGGTCTATATGTTGTTGTCTACCAAGTGGAATAAGAAACAACATATTTTCAATCCATTACAAGTAAATAATAGCATAAACAAAATATAAAAAGAAGCTACAAAAAAAAAAAAAAAAAAAATCAACCGATTTTTATTTATTTAGTCCAGAAGAAATATTCTACGACAAAAGTATTTGATGCAGAAAGAACATTTTGTTTAAAGTCAAAGTGAATCGACTTTCGCTTGCCTATACTTAAAAAAAAATAAATAACCTCTCTTTCGTTCAACCTTCAATGAAATGTATATCGTGTAACGCAAGGACAATGTAAAATATACAAGTTGTTAAGATAAGAAATAATACAGATTGCCACACTGTAAAATCATATACGTTACTTTTAAACTGCAACGTTCGATTTTTTTTTTTCAAGCTGACGGAGAAGAAAAAAAAAACTGTCTTCCAAGAAATGGCAGTTATGAAAGTTGACTAGACTGACATGTTCCCGCCTACGATTAGATCGACGTTCGATTGTAAGAAAAAAAAACTTCACTTGTGAACATATATATATTTAGATCAAACCAGTAAATAACAACTACTTAAACCAAAATAATTATATAGCTAAAATACAAATAATAAATGAGCCAACGGCCGTACCATGCTGAATATACCGGTTCTCGTTAGATCACCGAAGTCAAGCATCATTGGGCGCGGTCAGTACTGACCACCTGGGAGCACTGCGTGCCGTTGGCAAATTTGGGACCTGAATGGCCCAGTGTCTAGCGCTCTGGCGCTCGGTGCCACAGGTTTAGGGTTCGAATCCCGGCGGTGCCATGGATGTTTGTAGTGGTTCGGAATCCACTTTAAGCCGTAGGTCCCGGTCTCCTATGACTGTAAGAGCGTCACGGAGCAAAAGTCAGGCTTCTACCTACGGGTGCTCCATCACAACAGAAGCTGCTTCCTTCCCCTTCAATCATGAGCACGTATGGGCTCGTGGGCTTGGCCAGCCAAGTGGGATAAGAAACAACAACAACAACAACACAAATAATAAATAATAAATAAAAATAGTTTGGGGTGAAAAATTAATTTATTCTTAAGAATATTGTATAAAAAAAGCCATTTCAACTTGGATGTTTTTATTAATAAAGAAAATAAAAATTAAAAAATTTATTTAATTGAGAAATGTAAAAAAAAATATATATATATAATTTTTGTAATTTTTATTTCAAATGCAATTACGCCACTGGAAAATTATCTTTCAGAGAATATGTTTTACAGAATTTTTTTCATCACTTGTAACGTAAAAATAATTTGTTATATTTTGTGTCGACATTTGATGACAACATTTTATAATTTTGATTCATAATGCCATGATGTTATTCTGAAAAATAATGAAACCAAAATGAATTTTTTTTTATTAATAAAGATTGATTAGTGGGCATTAATAATATGCACAATGTGATATAATACATAATCTCTATTTAAACCAAAAAAATAATCATTTCGTTTAAAAGTCATGAAAAAAATAGTTATTCGTAACCATAACCATTCGAAGTAACCATAAGTTTTTCGTTAATGTTTATTCAAATGTGTAAAAATACAGCATGAATAATTTTATTTTTATTATTCTATATACATGAAAATTATCCCACAAAATGCTAAATTGTTGATGCAAAATTTCTAAATGTTTGTTATTTATAATAATGATAATGATTTCACAATATGGATTGCCATGCAATGAAATCAAATAGAATTTATTGCGGAGAAATTAATCTTCCAATAATTTTGTATAATTGATAAAAAAATATTTTTTTAAAACATCGTTGTATATTAACCAGCGTTAAATACCAATTAAATTATAAGTTATAAAATAAATAAGAATTTTCTAATTAAACTTAACACATAATGAATTAACTAAATTATGTCTTCATGTATGTAATGACGTAATTATGTATGTATGTATGTAATGCATGTAATGTAATGTAATATATATATATATGCATGTAATGCATGTATGTATATAATATGACGTAATCTTGCATGTATGTAAAATTTCATGTATGTAATATGACGTAATCATGCACGTATGTAATATGACGTAATCATGCATGTATGCATGTAATATGGCGTAATCATGTATAATATGACGTAATCATGCATGCATGTAATATGACGTAATCATGTATGTATATATATATAAAACTTTTTGTATATATGTAATATGATTTCCAACAATGATCAAATGTAAAAGTTAAATTTAATTTTATAAAATGCAGTATTACAAAATGCAAACCCTACTTTAAAAATTTTTGTATGCTTTTCTTTAAAAACTACACTGTTTCTACGCTACTTACATTTTCAAAATATTAAATCAGAAACAAGAGAGAAAACCTTAAACAATAAGACTGTTACCTTGTCAAAAGATTTCACACTTCAGATAACAGGCCCTTATTCTTATCCTAACAAGAAAAACACATCGCAAATGACAACGGCATAACAACCGTACAAACAGGCACAAACAAACGAAACTCTACTATCAGCAAAACATAGAATTTGTGGGGGAAAAAAAACTTCCGACAATCCTCGCATTAGTTGCATGGCCCACCAATTTCACCCTTCTTCTTATTCTTTTTTCTTTTTTTTTTACTTCACTCTTCCATTCATTCAAAGACGAAACGCTAGGGTCACGTTTTCTGGAAAAGAGGGCTGGGAAGTTGGCAAAAACGAATCGCGAAAAAGTTTTCCATTCCCAAAAAAAGAATTAAAAAAAAAAGAATAAAATAAAATCGCCTGCTTTTCCAGGTATTGGAGAGAGAGATTTTGGCAAAGCGCCCATTTAGAACAGCTGAGATCCCCCCTGTCTTTTTACTTTCACTAATTCTTTGTTTATTTTTTTCCCCCTGTTGTGTTATCCTGAAAACATGAACGAACGCAGAGAACAATAACGACTGATTTTTTTGTTCTTTTTTTTTTTTTTAAAGGAGTAAAAGATCTAAAAGAAGATGATCAAACTAAGGCAGTAGGGTATATAACGGCACCAACTCTTCCATCAAAAGCCGCAGCGGAACATCGAGCCAAGGAGAGGGGGGAAATGGAGCGAGTATACTTTCTGAAATTAAACTTTGCTTCGCGAAATCGAAACCAACTCTTCATTCAGATAGCGTAAACATAGGAATAAATTCAGTTCAGTATTACAGTATGTTTAGTTTTTTTTTAGTGAATATTTTGAAAGTTTGACTATATTGAATAGAATGCAATGCATGAACTCCTACTGATGTACTGATATCAGATTAACATGCTGTAGCAGCAGGGGCAATAAAGAAAATATAATAATTTTAAAGAAAATATAATTTTAATGTGCATATATATATATGTATATATATATGCACAAGTATATACATACTATACATACACACATATATAATATGTCTATATATATTATATGTGTGTGTGATTGTTTTTACGGCATAAGATAATACGTGAAATAGTCATATTTTGAATAAATATGAATATATCAAAATCCGAATATATTTTGAATAAATCAAAATCCCTGACACAATATCCAAGAGAATTGAATTTACATAAAGAAAAATAATTTTAATTGCATATTGAAGTGATGAAAATGCTGTGAGGAGATACCATATTTACAAAATGAAATTGATTTGACATAATTTAAAGATTAAAATTTAAATTACGAATTCGTTAAATAAAACAATCAATACAATCATCCATTCAATTACAAGCAAAATGAACGAAAAATAATAAGTAATATCTCCTTATTTTTACCATACTTGAATTTCAATGGTACGAAAAATCACGTCCTGAACATATCGAATGTTCATTTTTACAATAAGAAGTACATAAAAAATAATTAAGGTTTTATTTACGATATCTTTTAATTAATTCGACAATTTTAAACTCAAAAAAAAATTTCGAAATACGGACTAAAATACAAAATGAATAAAAATACTCATATACTAATTAAAAATACGCTTATAAAACCAAATTCATTTTTATAAAAAAGCAAATATTAATACTAACATCACATTTAAAATTAATTTGCAAAGAAAGGAATGAGGTGTGAAAATACGAATCCAAAATGTATTATTTTGTTCGTAAAAAATAATTTTAAAAACATAAACAATTTATACTTTGGATTCTTTTTCGCCAACTTTCCATTTGCCATCTTTTGCAAATTAATTAAATTCCACCAAATTCAAAAACAGGAAATATTAGATTATATAGTGTTCTAGTCTTCAAAATCACAAATAAAAACACGCACTCTAGTACGACTCAATCGCAAATAAACTCAACACAAAATGGATAAAAATGTCAATATACTAATTAAAAATACGTTTATAAAACCAAATTTTTTTTTTTTTAAAACAAATATTAATAACAACATCACATTTAAAATTAATTTGCAAATAAAAATATGAGATATTGACAAAAAAAAGAATTTAAAGTGTATTGTATTCGTAAAAAGAATTTTTCAAAAATATAAATAGTTTACACTTTGAATTCGTTTTTTTTTTTTTTTTTGCCAACTTTCCATTTGCCGTCCTTTGAAAATGAATTAAATTCATCCAAATCCTAAAATAGGAAATATTATATTAAATAAGTAGTGTCCGTCTTCAAATCATAAACAGAAACACGCACTCCGGTACGATTCAATCGTAAATAAACAATAAAAAAGTGCAACACTCACCGTTAGCCTGCAGATGACTTCCCTGTACAACCTATCAGACCCCATGCTGAGATGGCCTCAACCCTATGCGGAGATACCGGCTACAGCCTCGGCCGCGGGACATGGGTCACTGGGGTGCACATTGCTGCACGGTCAACGCTTCTTCAAAACAAACGACTCCGACTATTCGACTCTTTGCAGAATAGCAGCAATTAGCTAGGATTATCTTCGGAATAAATTGTCAACTGCGGTGGTGAAACTCCAGTGATGAAAGATATATACGAAAAGTTCTTTTAGAACAGTTTTCTTTATAAATAATTCCAACTTGAAAATGGCACTTGAAATCGTCCACACAAATTATCGTCTGTGTAATAGCACGAGTAAATATTTTATTTCACAAACGATTTTTTTAGGAATATTTTTGTTTTATTTTTTTTCCAAGGCAGTGACGATAAATCAAAAATTCTGTTGAATGTTTTTCTTATATACAAATCGCTAGATATATATCAATCCATTTATATAGTTCTAGAAAAACTCTGCTCAAAATTCTTTACTTTCTGATTTTTATAAACTTTTCAATATCTTAAAAAAAATATATTTATAAAATTTTATTTTTTCAAAATCCATTAATCGAACTTCTTTTGCCATAAATTCATATCATACCATACTGTAGTTTTAAAACACAGTCAAGAAAAATAACTTCCTTAAATATTCATTACATAATAAAATAAAAAAAATTTTCATTTAAATTATTTATACCATTTCACGAAATTCATTCAATATTTTCCTTATCTTATGAATTCTTACAAATAATATTCTAAAACTTGGCAATAAATGAAGCGGGAAAAAAAGAAGTTCTAACTTAAACAGTCCAAAACATACATAAGAAATTGACGTATTCTTTCTTCAACCAAAGGCAAAAAAAATGGCAAGAATTCTCAGTATGCGAATTCCCATATTAATCTCAATGACAAAAGGTATTTAAGAATAAGTCACCACAGCTTACACAAACACTACAATACAATGCAGGCCTGAGGAGCCAGTCTTTTCACAGCTGCACGA